TAAATGCTTTTTAACTCAAAGGAAATATCTGAAAAATTTTGTCAACGCAGGTACCAAACTATTAATGTAGTGCCTATACTAATAGCTACTATATGGCTACTAAGCCATATTGCTTAACATAGACTAAAGTAGCAACAATACAAACAGATTGTATGAAACCAATATTTCTATTGAAATCTGATATTTTATTTAATATCGAAAACTCGGTGATAGTGAAAGTGGTATAATAAAAGAGTAACATAATAATTTAGTTGGGTAATATTATAGCATGCCCAATATTCAAATTTAATATTTAAATTCATGAATACACATACGCTCACAGTTAGATTTACCGTGGAGAATATGGAAATGTTAATAAAAATATAAATATTTCAAATATGTAGACAAAAAAGGGTAGGTAATTTTAACTTTGTTGTCCCCTAATAATAATTGAAAATATTCGGCTAACAGTAAGTTATGTTTTTTAGAACCTACTTACATAGGTTTGGAAGAAAGGAACACGAACGGCTTTTAATGAAGACTAGCTGTTGCCCGCGACTTCGTCCGCGTAGAATAATGACTTCTGGCAGAATTTAGGCTTTTGAATTAGTTTTTATCAAGGGATATTCTACGGTAATGGATGTCGTCAGAATTGATTCAGTCCCGTAGATGATAGCGTGATAATATGTAGCCTATATGTTTACCAGACTTGTTAGTAATATTCATGCAAAATTTGAAATAGTAGTGCAGTACTTTTTGAGATCATCACGGCCATACATACAGACAAACAGACATCTGCATGCCAAATTACAACCCGATCGGTTTAAAACTGACAAAGTCTCATACAAACTTTCATCCCCTTTTTTACCCCCTTGGGGGTGGAAATTATCAAAATCCTTTCACAGCGGATGCTTACGTCATAACATCTATCTGCATGCCAAATTTCAACCCGATCAGTTAAAAACTGAGAAAGTTTCATACAAACTTTCATCCCCTTTTTTACCCCCTTGAGGGTGGAAATTATCAAAATTCTTTCTTAGCGAATGCCTACGTCATAACATCTATCTATATGCCAAATTTTAGCCCAATCTGTCCAGCGGTTTGGGCTGTGCGTTGATAGATCACTATGTCAGTCAGTCAATCAGTCAGTCAGTCAATCACCTTTGAATTTTATATATATAGATCATGTTTAGTATAGGTATACCTACTAAACATGATCTTATTACTTATAAAGTTTGTTGGAACCCAGTATACCTATACTTACGAATAAAGTATTGTACATTCTATAATACAATAAACTGACCTTTAGTTCTAATGCTAAAGTAATTCTTTCTGAGTCTGTAAAGAAGACTGAAACCAACTTAAGCCGTCTACCATCTTGTAATAAAAATTATCGCATTGTTGAGTATCTTACAACCAAATATCAAGTAATTAACATTTGCTCTATACCTGTCATAATTACTGATTAATAAACAAACCGATGTAATTACATGTAACACGAACATATAATAACAAATAACACAACAGTTAAAGAGACTATAAATATACAATTCGAGACAGACAAAGATGACCCAAGATACAATTCCGATGCTCACGCAATGCATGGCACACACGTATTAATTAGAAAAAATACAGTTGAAAATTAACCACATATTTATGAAGAAAATGGGGACTGAAACAATAAAATACTATTTATTTAGCGTGTAATTAAAGAAAAGGTCACATTCGTGTAATAAATAAAGTTGTAATCAGATCATATCTGCGTCTAGTTTGTAATGAGTGTTGTAATTATATCTTTGTCTCTTTATACAACTTAATTGTATGAGTTTTTAACTTGGTTAAAAAATTATGATAGTGTAATATTAACAGCTTATACATATGTCGAAAAGTTTAAATAGGTAAATGGTATTTGAGCGTTAGTCAAATAAGTAAAAATAAAAGTCAATGTATAAGATTGTCATTGACATTCCACAGAATTATATGTTATCGAAAGTCGTCAAGTTCGTCTCCTTTTTTCATATGTTCCACTGGGTGTCTAGGAATCGTGATGTTTGTAAAAAGCTGTTAATTTATAAAAAGTTTACTAATAAGTACCTAACTGCTGAAAAGGTGTTCTGCAGTCAAAATTACTTCGATAAATTTCTTTTGGATGAAATATACGTCATATTTTGTTAATAAAACTCGGAAATATTTTCTTGTATTTACCAGATAAATGTGGAATAGCGTCAAACAACTGGTATAGGTTAGTTCCCATTAATTAGCCATTAATTTTATATAGTTCTTTGTCTAGTAATAAAATGTAACGACCAGTAAGAATTATGAAATCTTTTAAGACCATATAAATTCACGTTTAATGAGATATTCGACAGATGTATCGTGAGTCATACGAAAGATAAATGCACCATGGTGTTTGTCAACTGTACACAATACGTGATTGTTTGAGAAACCACTTTTATTTTCTCCAAACAAACAATAACGGTGGAACCAAGGAATGGGGACATATTCGCGCCTCGCTCCGGATGTGGTTCTCCATAATTGTTGCACTCGATCAACTGAAATTACGCTTCTTTCATACGTAACATGTCATACATTCGTGGTTTCTCACCGCAAAAATATAAACACATTTCAATACCACGTTATTTAAAAAAAAAAACCTCATTGTATAAACTATATTATACCTACCCAGTGTGGTCCGACACTAATTATTTTATACCTTACTTGAACATAAAATACGATTTCTGGTAATTAAAATTTTACGCGTTTGACTTCATCAAACGAGTAGGTAATGAATTCAAAGCTAGAAGTCGACACGGAATTTATTAACATCAACACATAGGTATAAGCCACGTTATGTGGGAAAACCGATAATTCCCACGTCAACTGTTAAACATTATAAATGATAATATCCTGTGGAGTTATTTTGCAAAACTGTTATCAATAATAACGACTATTTATTCTAGTATACGTATATTTTTGCTAGATGATCTAACTGCTATTTACATACTCGGTAATTGTGTTAAAAGTTCTCGCATTTGTCAGTAAACATACATTCAATTGGGTATTTTGTTAAGCTTATCCGAGGGCATCGCGGGCCGACATTTATTAATGAATTATGTAAATGCGCGAGACCGACGGTCCGCCGACGATTCTACCAACTTTATTACTCGCGAAATGCGCCATTAATATAGATCGTTACCTCGGTCTCTGCAAACCCCTTTAATTGTTAACTTAGTACTTACAATATTAATGATTTGAAGACGTTACGTAATCTTTTACGATTATGTTTCCTTTACATAAATTGATCAGTTCTAACAGACTTGCGAACATTGTACCTCTATGTAATTGCCTCTAGCTGCTTGAAGCAACACTCAAGACATTAACAACTTGTACCTAATTATTAACTGAAAGGTCACGAGGAACACTGAAGGTTAAGTACTTTACAGAGTGGATGCTAAAACGAACTTTATTCTTTTATCACATAAGGTCCAAAGATGCTTAAGAAAATTGTAAAAGCGGGTTAGTTACTAACTTTCATAATTCAATCTACATCAAAGCCCGTGTTCAAAGAATACAAAGTACCTTGTTGATGTGGCAGTTGCTCCACTGATTTTTATGTATTGCTAAACTGTTAAGCAGTAAAAGGTTATTCTTCACAGTTCAAGCTTCATCACAAAACACATCGTCATTATGTGTTGGATGACCGAGGTGAAAATCAGAGAAAATTATGATCTTGTCTACTCAAATATTTAAAAAATCATTAAAACTCGTTTATTTTTTTGTTTATGTCAATAATCAATTAAGAAACACTTGTAATACTGGGCCTACCCTAGTAGTCTCGTAACCAACAGCTGCAGCAGGTAAATGAAACCCACTGACCTCAATTTCTGGGTAAAATGATAAAGGAGGTAAAAAATCGATTAGTATAATATTGGAAGTGCATGTGACGCAATTGGTGGTCGCAATCGATTGTTATCCGTGATGGATGCGGTTCATTACTTGGGCGCGCTGGGTGGCACGACCGTCGTCGCCGCCTAACGACGCGCGACTCCTCTCATTGTCAAACATGACCACAGATCCCGTCGATATGACACCACCATTCCAAACACACCTCAATACCATTTATTTATGACCAGTGCTTACCTCGAGTCTCGAGTCGCGCGACCTACTTTAATAGTGCTGCCTTCGAGTTTTATCGACTACTACTTATAACCTCGTCGTTAGATAATATAACACTTACCTCAAAGATCGTTTGACACCGTGTTTTATGGCAGCTATTAATTCATTCTTTCACTCCTGGATTTTATTGCTCGCATTCCATAAGTTCCTATCGACAATAATGAACAGAATTTTTTGTAAACTACCGCGGCTCGTTGACTACGGTGTGACGTTAGATCGCAGTATGGCTGACAGGCAAATTGTAAGTTGACGGTTATGTAATCTGACAGGCCCCCGACTACTTGTTTAGGCATCGAAATTATAAAAGTGCCGTTTAAATTTTGTAAAAAATATAATAAGAAGGACTACACCATAAATAAACGATGTTGAGATGTTATCGGTCGCTGGCCGGCAGGAAGCGCTTCAGCCCATTTAGGGGTGCATTAAAATCGAATACATCATATTTGTTTGATTTCCTAGTTCGCGTTTCACCCTGTAATTATACAAGTCACCGTCCATGGCCGGATCTTTGGCGGTTTTTGTTAAGATGCATTAATCATCTTTTTTTATTGCGAGCATGTGTTTTGGTCTCGTAAAACACTTTCGAGAATTATAAGCTTTTTGTATTCGTAATGTCTAATTTAGTTTTCGGTCGGTTCTTATGAGGTCATTAGCGCGGTGAGGTCCGTTTCGTCATCCCCATCGGAAATTTATAGTTAAAAGTTGAGTTTTAACGTTGTTTTAATTTGTCACGAAATTATATTTCTTCAGAACATTTTAAATTTTATGACTGGCATTAAATGTAACATAAGTAATGTTGAATGTTGGCACTTAATTATAATGAGCATATTTTTTTTGGTTGTCAGACGCATGTTCCCGACGGTACGCGTATCGTTCGCGGGGTGCCGCGCGGACGCGCGCTATGCCGTGCTGCTGGACGTGGTGCCGGTGGACGGCAAGCGGTACCGCTACGCGTACCACCGCTCGTCCTGGCTGGTAGCCGGCAAGGCGGACCCGCCAGCACCCGCGCGCCTCTACCCGCACCCTGACTCGCCTTTCTCCGGCGACCAGCTGCGCAAGCAGGTCGTCTCTTTCGAGAAGGTCAAACTCACCAACAACGAAATGGACAAGAATGGACAGGTGAGCATCTTAAGTAAACAAGAAAATAATGAATTTATCAAAAGCAATAGACAAATAGAGACACGGCACTAAGTATCAGAAGTGAATGATTGATGATGTTCGAGGCGTGGCGGCGTACATGATCCCCGCTTTAGATTATAATCATAATTTGATTCAATAGGTTGGTACAATCGTAATTCACAAACAACAAAGTGTAACGTATCGGTTTCGAGGGAGAGTGCGGAGGTTGTTGCAGCGCTAAGAACAAGGTGATAAAGTGGCCGAGCCTGAATGAGCTATAAAGTGTTGACGTAAAACGGTTGATTTACGTGCGCCCCGGGTGTCGCCGCCGGCTAACGAGCGCCTGTGTCCAGTGTGTGTACCATCTAAATGTTTCACAAGTGATATAAATTCATGTAATTCTAATTGCACAAATCTTGTCTTCGACACTACAATTTTAACTGTACACTTTGAGTGGAGTCGGTTCTGCTCCAGAAAATAGCTAATGGCTGTTAGTGTTATTACTTGACGGCGGCGGCGGGTTAGCCGAGTGCGTGCGCCACTGCAAATCGAGGTTTATAAATTATCCGTCAACATTTAATTATACACTGGCCACCTTTGCAATTCAATGTAGAGATGGCTTTTACGATATGTTCGCTCGAATTGTAGGAGTATATTAACAATTTGGCAAGATTTAATTGCGGCCATAAAAACTGTCCATTCATAAAAATAATTGTAAAAATAAACTGAGACATGAATAGCATGTGAATGGTCCAGCGTTTCACACATCCTTTGAGATGACGTCGAGTCGTGACACGTGGCCCACTTCCGTATGCGTGTAGCAATTTGTAGAATTACTGGCAAAATTGTTGTCGGCGACACCTCGGGCGCTGGGCGACGTCGGGGAGAGTGTAATGAGTGCTTTGCTGGCAACAAATTAGTCGCACATGTCGTGCCGCGTCAGCCGGCACCTCACGGCTACTTGCCTCCGCGCCGCAGGTGCGCACTCGCACAGGCAAATGTCACGACTACACACAACCATCGCACACAGAACTATAAAAAACCCTACTCTTCAACTATCGAGAGATCTCATTCACTGGCCGTAATATTTACTTAGCTGTATGCTAGTCAGAAATATGACAGTTATGAAGAGTGCGATAGCAACACGATAGCATCGCGATTGTAAATTGATTTTCAGCTGATGAGAATGAACTTTAAATTCGTTGTTTGTTATTGTCACACTTTTATCATTTTATGTAGATTGTGTTATGAATACTTATTAGTTGGATGTGTTAGATATTTATCTATGTAATACATATGTGTATACGCGTCCTGTAATAATACAACCATGCAGGTGTAAAATAACTATACGCAGATAGCTTAATTGCTTCGACTAGTAATTAGACGCCTTTTTTAGTGTTTTGTGAACGAGAGATATTTACCGTCACTTATACATATTTGGGTTGAGATTAAAGTAATTTGATTATCTTAAGTAAGTGTATGTAATTGAACAATGCTAGGTTACGTTACGCAGTCAAGTGTTGTTGGCCGAGGGCGCCGGAACGGAACCGGGGGGCGTGGCTATATGATAGATGGACCTGGCTCTCACCAAAACACACCTAATTGGCTTTCCCATAGTAGACCGATCACTATCAACCTCGTATCGTGGACTTATTTAATTAAATAACTTATTTTAATATACATAATGTGCTCAAGCAGGCAAAGTCAAGAGTTCAAGGTTTTAAAACGAATCTAACATTTTTTGACATTTACATCAATATTCTCGTGTGTATCAGTAAGTAGCCATCCAAAATATCTACCTAAATTCGTATGTATACAAGCCATTTTTGTTCCTTTAATTATTTTGCGAGTAGGTACACTAATATGTAAATTAGTCATAACGATATTCCCATGAATTTCCGCACAGAATGGTTTCATCAACAATTAAAATTAAAGTGTAAAAATAATTTACCGAAGCGGAAGATTTAATTAATTACGTAATGTTTTATTATATGTATATTAAAATGAATTATGACGTTACTTGCTTTATAACTTTAAATATTAATGGTCTAGCTACCGGCATTACACGAAACTATTTTTTTCTCTCAATAAATCTAACTTTATATTATTCCGCTCCGAGAAACGGCTAAACACACGAAAATATTTATAAATAAAACTTCTAATTAGCAATATATTATCAGAAACGGAACTGGAATTGGTGAGTCGTTAACATCGGTAACAATGTATAGACCACGCAACTCGACACGGCCGTTCGTGTCCACCCGCCTAATTGTGGAACAAAAACTCCATGGAACCGACGAATTAATCATCAGCGCGCCACTTAACTGCCTCTACCTACTCGAAATAATAAAGTAAATGTTGCATTCACCTCACTTGTTACTTACTCTAACCCTGAAAAACTAAGCGTTGTTTTATTGCGTGAGCTACGCATACTGCCGCTTTTTACCCCAGAGGACCGTTTTGTCATGAAAAATGTGTATTCTTTTACACCTGTACTGTAGACAAAGCTAATGTAACTTCATGTACTAATATCACGTATGAAATAGCAGACGTGTTGCTTTAAATTCCTTTAAAACTGAATAAACGAATCTAGCTGTACACTGAGTATGATATAAAAGCACAAATTTAAAGTAAATTTCAACATGCCTTCATAAAGTTAGAGAGACTTTTGTGTTGGTTGTAGGGTTTATTTAAAAGCTTGGCATAATCGTGTGTTGGAATGAGGTCAGATTATTAGAATTCATGAGAACGGTCACACGAAAGCGTGGCGACTGTGGCGAGTAGCGATGACGGATCGCGATTGTACGAGCTCCGGCCGGGCCCCGAGCCGATATGCCTGCGGTCACAAAGACCTCCCAACGACAGTGGCGTATTAAATCCGTAAATCTTGATGTAATATATTATACTTTCTCATAGGCTCTGTATTTATCTTACTATGAATGAGCAGCTTTATTTCATTTTATAAATATTTTGTGAGGATCATATTTTGGAACTTAGAATGTTTAGACTAAAGTTGAATGTCTAAATCCGTTTATTTTAAATGTCCGGTTATCCGGTCCGGTTAAGCCAACACGTGTCTTATTGGACTGCATTTAAGGTATCATTGTCAACTAAAGTACTGTTTAAAAGTTGCGTAAACCGTAAGTACCTTTTGTAGGAACAACGGTAGCAGTGACAGAATCTGCGTGATACATAATTGTGTATCTCATAGAATTATATACTAGTAGGTATAGGTACAATTTATAAAAGTTAACAAAAGCTTTATTTATCCCCCAGTCGCATAGCAAGAACCCAATCATTCAGCAATTAAACCCAATCAAAACCTTGAATAATTTATAATCAGACAGAGCTTCTGTAGCAGTTAGCAGTAAACTTGTCACAACTCACAATCAACAGAAGGAAAATGCAAATATTTTTTTATTCTGGGCAATAAACATGAAATATTGCTTGATAGAATGATTTACAGTTACGCAATCATAATAACAGGTAAAGGTGTTGCGTATAACTTATTAATTATAAATTAAATCCTACATTTACGCACTTTCTTCAAACATGAGTGCATCAACGTTGCAGTTTGCAGTCGCTTCGAGCGATAAACACAAGCAATTGTCGGCAGCCAAGATTTATATCCAGCGTAATAATAATAAAAGAAACTTAATAAAAAACCTCTTTAGTGTTCCTTCCTTTATTGAAAGCGATATTCGCGTGAAAGTCTACTGATAGAGGAACGTAGATATTTTTTTTTAAGACTTTTTTTCTCTTTTTGTTTAAAAATATAATATCGTGTGCACAGTCATGATTAGAATTCAAGGTTAATAGTAGGAAACGAAGGTGTAATTAATGAATATATGTAAATAGCAAGTTCTCTGGTCCACCACAGAACGCGAGTGGTGATGATTAATGAACGGCTTTTTGGTCGTTTACTTAAATAATGAGATTACAACTTTATGCTTCGAAACTTTGTAAAATAAAAACTGTGGCAGTTATTAATTAGAAACCTTCTGACACGTTCATTTCAAAAACGTTCTTGTTTTAAATACTAGTCGTTACCCGCGTTTCCGCTTGTGTTAATTTATTTTGCATAAATATCTTGTGTAGTCCAGACGACTTTACAAGCTATATTTGCTTATCAGTAAGAATATAAAGGTTTGAATAATAATATCATAACAAACAAACACTTTCGAATTTAGAACATTAGTAGTAAATGTTTTGCATTAAATAAATAATACGGCCATGATCGCATATGTTCACAAGGAAACACATGCCAATCGAGATTCTTATTATTTTTATAAATATTTATTCAAGCGATAAAATCTATAATTTTTATGGCACAGATAACAAAACTGTAGTCATAAATTCAAATAAAACTTCGATTTAATGAAAATGTTGCCATAACGAAATATTTAAGGAATAAAATAAATACAAACGTTTTTTAAAATAACTGTAAATTCCATGAATGAACGAATGAATGTATGTGGTATTCTGATAATATGTTTTTATTTATTTATGGGTTTTACATAATGTTAACCTAGTGGTGGTTACATACTAGCCACTGGCCACTATTATCTTATAAAATATAGGTATTTATAGTTATAATACTAAATAAGTAGTTTTTGCCGTGTGGCCTTTTGTCTCTAATAAGTATGTCTATAAAGAGAGAAAAATATTACTTCTATAATAAATAATTAAAATAAAGACAGTGGGAGATCGAAGTAAGTAGCCTGACCTAACAAGCTTGGTACACACTGCACCCTGCACAGTCCTGCCGCAGGCTCACACACCCTACTAACATAATCGCTGCAATTTATTCCATCAACTCAGAATTATGTCGTTAGCTCTTATTTATTTATTTTGCTCAAGTACGTTCAGCAATTATAATGCACTTAAGATGTGTGCACAACTGCGTTTATCCCCTTTTTATAAGCTTCTTGTTATAAAATGAAGTGATTGTGAAGTGTCGCGTATCAACAGTAGGTCTGTGTTTCACTTTCCAGGGACAA